CGAATTTGTTCTTTTCAAATTTGCAAGAAAAAAAACTGCAGACCGAAATTATGCTTGTAGTAAGTAATTGGAGGAAAAAACTCCGTTTGCCAGTTACAAAAAAACTTACTATCATCTTTAACATCGTCACTTCTGTAGCTATGTCCGCGGAACCGTATTACCTTCAATGTTGAAGTTGAGAACAACAGATGCTTTTCTTACTAGCCCATCCAAGTTAACTTCCAGCATCTTCTGAAAACATGCAGAAACATTATTTTCATTTGATAAGATATAGTGTGGCGTGTGCCTGCTGTGTGTCAGTGTTGGTTGCTAGGTGCTAACCAAGTCTGCATACTATTTGATAACGTGCACTTGTCGTTTCTCCTTCAAAAGGGCCATCAAAGCGTTTTCCTATAATTTCCATTTTCCCTAGTGCACATCCTTGACATGTAGGTGGCTTTTTGTATCTTATGTGTAACTTGCCTTCCATCTACTGAACGTTTCAATTCGTTTCCATTCATAAGGTCTAAGTTGCGGCAAAGTTCTCGCTATTATCTTGCAACTACACAGCCTATTCGCTTCTGAAGCGTAGCGTCTAAGCTTACGGGCTGAATGCTTTTGAAAACTGTGTCCGGCAAATTTGAAGGTCATTCGCTGCTATAACAATCAAAAACTAACTACTAAGCAAAACTGAGCCCTGAACACCAGCTATAAGGAGGAGATCGGCGTGCAAGTCACCACGGTTGTGCGAAGCCCGCCCACTTCCACGCGATGTCAGCTTTGAATATAGGATTGGGCCGCCCAAGTGAAATAGTCAATTTGGAACATTTCAACGTTTCAAAGATAAGTTAAAGGCGTGGATCGGCAAAATCCAACAACTCGGGATTTTAACGCGGTAGGTTTCTTATCGCCCAACTATGAAAACAGTGCACAGCATGCTTTCCCTGCCGAGAAAATCGCTCTCTAACTCACACGCGCAGGCCAATCTTACACGCATCTGGACGAGCGCAATTTCCTTCTCACCATTGGAGGCTGCCCGCCGCAGCGCTTTAACCATTGGGTCCTGCAACGATTTAGCGTCATCGGCCTTGCTCCACTCGTCCAATTCCAATGGGAAGGGCATTAAAAACGCTCATTTTCGCCGTTTTCAAGCTTTCAAAAGTGGATTTTCGGGATCAGCGTATTGAAAAACCAAATTAAAAACCAAAAATCAAAAACTAGTTAAGCGCAAATTTGACTAAGTTGAGATTTGCCGAGCCACTTCCTTTAACTTGTCCTTTTTGCATTTAATACAAAAAAACTACTACTTCTGTGCTCACATCAGGAATCCCACTCCGAATTACAAGCTATGGAAATAAGAGCAAGCCAAAATCTCGTTTCTCTAATTTTTCACTTTCAATATATCAAACTAGAGAAGACAGAAGACCGATCAAAAATCACCTTGTGAAAATTACGAGGTTTAGGCTATAAAATATATTCTTGTCGCCTTCCATCGCAATTCACGTAGTGGCGCAGACCTAGCATGCCACCGTACCGATATTTTCGTCATTTGCATAGGTAAGGAAAAACGACTTTAACTTTCCCCGGAAGAACGCTCTTAATTTCCTACTGTGTAGAGAAGAAGGTTTAGCAGTGGCAACGATTTGAAAAACACAGATATTTTTTCCTGAAGGTATTTTAGGTTGGTGCAAAAGTTCTTTCCTACCAAATTCAAAAATTCATAACTTGTTGAATACTCAACGAATCTGTAAGATCTAAATCTTGCTTAAGAGAGGAACTCATGCTCTTTGCATCTGTGCCTAAATTGTTTGTTAAGATTTACAAATGAAGGAGATAGAAGCTCAAAACCAAAATCACTCAAAATTTCAATTTTTTGTGTAGGGTCATAAAAAATCGGAAACTTGCAACAAAAATCGGAGCAGTCAGTATTGTAGGTTCTTTCACCAGCTCTTTCTAACGGTGCAAAGTTTGCGCTGATTGAGCGTCTCTATGAAAAGTTATGATGCCTGAAAAATGCCAAAATAAATCAAATTCGCCCTTTTGTATTGCTTGCTCGAAAATCATAACTTTTCATAGAGACGCTCAATCAGCGCAAACTTTGCACCGTTAGAAAAAGCTGGTGAAAAACCTACAATATTGACTGCTCCGATTTTTGTTGCAAATAACCAATTTTTTATGATCTTACACGAAAAATTCAAATTTTGAGTGATTTTGGTTTTGAGCTTCCATCTCCTTCATTTGTAAACCTTAACAAACAATTCAGGCACAGATGCAAAGAGCATGAGTTCCTCTCTTAAGCAAAATTTAGGTCTTGCAGATTCGTCGAGAATTCAACAAGTTCTGAATTTTTGAATTTAATGGGAAAGAACTTTTGCACCAACCTAATACATTAATGGGGTGTGGCACTACCTCTAAAAAGCTGTGGCAGCCACAGTTTTTTAACTTCTTCCAAACAAAATTTTTCAAAAATATATATACAGTTCTATAGCCAAAACTTCATAGCTTTTATGAAAGTGATTAAAGCTGAATTCGTCTTCTTTCGTTTGAGCAATAGGCTGGAAGCATAACCACTGTAAGCAGAAAAGTCAAATGGAATTTTGGCTGGCTCCTAATTCCATTAATTTGATGTTTATTTGAAGCAAGATTCATGGTATGGGCAAATAGGGAGTAGAGCTTTGTATTGAGTACAAAAAGAGGTAGTTAATTCACTTCTGAAATATAGTTAATCAAGTTTGAAAATGACCACTTCACTTGGGTGGTCCAATATCGGAAACCCTCAGATTCGCTAAAACTTGGCACGCAGGGGTTATGTGACATGATAATTAGAATATGTTAATAATTATGCTTCGTTCAGCCACGTTAATGTCATGCCTACGGTGGGCAAACGAGAGGGCCGGGGGGGGGGGGGGGGTATTGAGACCGAACTTAGGGCGGAGGGGAGGGGGAAGGGGGGGGGGGGAGAGTCGTATCCGACGGTTGAGTGCCACAATGGCTCGACCCGGGCCGTCCATATCGTTGTAACCTGAACGCCCGCGAGCGTACTTGAGGCGCGCCCACATCAATGGCCTTCGCGTTACTTCTACATTGGCTTGATGACTTATCCAACCGGCAGCCGCGCGTATGTTTAAGACTTTATGTGCCCGAACGTGACGTGAGGTCTTGATGAGGATGCACCAATAGAAAAGGGGTACGCGATTGACACGAACTATACAGGGCTTATCAACCGCAGTGTTGGGTGCACCAGCTCTCAGCTCCCGCGCCGTCCCTCGCCTCTTTCGCGAACATGCCTGGTCACCTTCCCAGTGTAAACGTGGAAAAAGGCGGAGTCTCAATCGATTGCATAAGCATAGAGAGCATGTTCGCAGACTAAGTGCAGGGTCCCGCGCGGGAGTGGAGATGCCGGTGCACCCGACACTGCAATTGATAAGCCCTGTATACAGCTTGTTCCATTACCAATCAGGCCAATTGGCGTGGCAGGAGTCTGTGTCAGAGATTATGCCATGCCTTTTAGCATGTCTGCTCTTTCTTCACTTTCTTCGCTTTCTGCGACAGTGCGCACAAGGAGCGCAACCTAGCGCTCGAACGCGCAAATTTACGCCAGAGATTCGGGCTGGTTCCTGGTTCCCACTGGGACAGACTTCATAAAATCTGTCAGACCCAGAGCTCGGCACGGGTGGCTTTGAAAAATGCAAGAAACGAAGTCTTCCTTGACTGTCGCGAACTTTTACGAGGTTCCCTAAACCCTAAACGTAAGAACCCTAAAAAAAGGAAACGTCGACTAAAAAAACTTGACAATTTTTGTGTATTTTCGGCCTCAAAAACGAACGCCCTTTGCTTTTTGTCCCAAAAACGATATCCATCTTGCTTACAAGCCACCTGTGCCGAACCCTGATCAGACTTGAAAATTGCGCCGGACACACTGTGTGTTCGAACTGGGAAAGGCAGGATTTTATGTGAGAAGTGTGGACTGTAGCACTCCGATATCTGAGAAGTCGTACTGGTATAGGGAGGAGGAAAGAGGTGCAATCGATAGGGGATTGAAACACAAACAACCAATTTCCCACTCAAACTAAAGCACTACGTTTTTGGACCCATGGTCGAAAGAGAGGTGAAAATCACTGTCGTAGATTTTCCAGAGGTCTGAGAAGTTGCGAACTCCGTCAAAACCTTGTTTTAAACCTTACTTGCAAACATTGAATAACTAATCTAAAAATCGGCTGAAAAGCACACTACACCAACTTACCCTCGTAGTCACAGCGGTCTCTAGCAGAATGGTGGGGCAACCGACCTACCCGACTAAAGCCAAAACTGAGCGAACGCGCACGCCGCAACGCTTCGCGACGCCGACGGCAACTACACAATGTCGTGCGAGGACCCATATCTGTCTCCTCGTTCCGTTTGCGCTCTGGCTAAGAAAATGATGGAGTGAAGAGGAAGCAGTACTTTAAAAATGACCGCGCCCATTCTCGATCAAACGGAGTCTGTATTCTAAAGCTGTCATCAAGGCTCGTGTAGGTAAGAGTTAGTTTCACTCAGAATGACTTCCAAGACATTTCCTAGCTCTTGCTAGCAGTAGGTGGAACGCACGAGCGACGCTTTTCATCTGACTTTGGACTTCCATTGTGACATGCTTTGCCCACTCTGTGCATTCATTCTCTCATCTCTTTTCAAAATCTTTGTCTTCCATCGGGAACTCTTTTTATTAGAAGCATGAAAATCAAGGGGCCACATATCTTAAAAACTGTGTGTCCCTAACTGTGGGTCGTTCTGGATCTCTTCTAAGACTCGCTCTCGATCTTTAACCTGACCGAATAATCCAGTAGTTTGGCATGCGCGAAAACCAGTTTTCTGCGTGCTGCTCCGTTAAAACTGTTCAAACGGTTGAGCCGTTATATTGATTTCGGCGCCTTCTTTACACCAAAAATATGGCGAAAACTGTTGCATTTAGCATCATCCATTTTGAATTCTATCGCCTACCTGCGACTCATCCGTATTAACAACATGTTTTTCGACATTTTCAGGACGGATTCCTCCCCATCGCCAGCGAAACGCGCTCGATCCAGCTTGTCTGAGCAGCTCGACATGCTCACACAAGGTCAAGGTTTGTTCCGAACATTCCCATCTCAGGAGTCTCTCAATTGTTGTATTTTTGCTAATCTTCATCGCAAAACTTGGCGGAAAAAAATTTTTCTTTGCAAAATCCAAAAGCTCTCCTTTTTGGGAAATCTCGAAGTTTCATCTGCACAACTGAAGCCTTGTCAATATCCTTTTTGTAAATGGACAATCGCATCTGTTTACATCTCTGTTTCAATCCTGTCAATGTCGTCGTTCTTTGGAGTGGTGCTTTTCTGCGAAAACGAGGAAGTACTTTTTCGTGGGGTCGAAGTCTGGCTGCTTCATTATCTCAGCTATCCCTTTATCAAAAATGTTGCCAGCTCTTCACTTCAGCTTTTTCAATCAAAATTAGGTACTATTACCGTCAGCAGCGTGCAGGCACTCCCTTTAGTTATCAACTTAGGTCTACGCAAATACTATCGCGCCAAAGATTGAAGTTCAAGAGATCATGTCGTCACGTACCGAAAATAAACGCATGGCTTCGCAACTTGAGTTGAAAGGGTAGGAGAGGACACCGATGAAAAAATTAGTAATTCTCATGATTAGCTGGGCTGGCGTGTTTGCCCACTTCAAAATTACTAAGAAAGCTCTTGGGTATGAGTATGAGTATGAAGTTTTGCACGAAACTCGATCGCCTTTCCTTCCTCCATGCGTTCTTTTTGGACCCCTTTTTGCGCACAGGTTCTCAGTTTGATCTTTGATGAATAAAAAGCGAATACACTTGTGAGGTGTTAAACATTATTGTAATTTGTGAGATACTGATATGGCTAGTTTCTGTCTCAACGCTGAGCTGCTGCGTCAGCCGATTTTCGTCTGCTTCTGAGATTATAGCAGGAAAACTTATATCATTTGCACTAACTTGAAGCGAAGCTTTTCAAGTGGAAACATAAGTCTGATAGCTTCTTGGAACATCAGAAAAAGTTAATAGATGGTCATGGAACTGATGCAATCCACATTTAATGAGTAAAGAAGTTGTCTTGAAAATTCAAGGCAGTCTAAGTAAGAGGCAGTGGCGTACCCAGGATTTTCGTTTGGGGGGGGGGACAAAATTTTTTGGATGATGGTGCGTGGCGTTAGCCGCACTCCGAAAAATTTTTTGGGATGTTTCTCAAAATTTAGCCCCCTGACCCCAAAAATTTCAGAAAAAGGGGGCGTGGCTGCCGCCACGCCTCCGAAAATTATTTTTACAGGGCTAGTTTGAGTTTTTGAAAATTTTTAAAAATTATTTCAATTGTTTACAAGTAAAAACAAGTCCTCTGCACAATTTTATAACACACTAGTTGGCTTTCGGGCCCAGCCCGGGCCATTGTTCACCTGCACTGCGAGCCCCCTCCCTCCCCCCTCACATATGTTATGGATGACTTACCCTGGGACATCCGCTTCGAAACCACATCCTCGTGACTTGAGGTGAAAATGAGCTTCACCCCCCCTCCTCTACATGACTATTGGAAAATGCTTGATTAACACATTGACGACAATGTGACCCACATGGTGGGTCATGCAATGACTGTGGTTTTAGAAGTTCCATTATGCTTTACTCCTAGAAATTACTTCCGCGTTTCTTAGCTGCTTTTCAAAGTCACTGTAGGGATACTGCAGATGACGGCCTGTTATATTTCAGCTAAAAATACTCAACTCACTATAGATGGGACTGTCCCACAAGGCAGATAGCTAAAAATGCATGCTGTCGTCAACATGTTGAACATGATAAGCCTTTAAATCCTTAGAAAAATGTGAACAAATCAATAAATCGATAGAAGGACCCAACGAATCGGCGCAAAAAGTAGCCTATCATCTGCGCAGGGGTTAAAAACGTCTGTGTGCAAACTTTCAGCGAATCGGTTGAGCGACTCGCGTTTCTATAACGCACATACCCTCCAAACTGCCAATTTTTGGTAACTTTCAAAAATTTCACGACCCGTTCTCGGGGGGGGGGGGGGGAGGGGGACGTTAGGAGGTGATTGACTGGTCAGCATTAATTACTTCCGCACTAGTTAAATGTAACTCTTACGCTCATATCCATGCGTTTATATGCATTTTAATAAATCGCGATGTTCATGGTTTCAGAATTCCATGTTAGCATGAGTTGTGTTGTCACATATGCATTGACGTCATCTTCGGCATCTGTAGACCTTAGAAATGTGTCACCCCACGCTCTGGTTTTGAACTGCAAAGCCCCCTCTGAGCTTTCGTTACCGAGGTCACTTCACTGAGGGCGCCAGAGAACGCAGCAGTGAACGTAACAAAGATTTATCGGCTACGAGGCGTAGCACGTTAATAACATCACAAATCACGATTCGCATGTCATTCTAAGCATTCTCTTTCAGTTACTTCGTTTTCTATGACCCCCACAACGGCTTCGCCATCGCAACCCCCTATTGTTCCGCAAGCTCTGGATTTTCTACATCCCAAAACTGAAGGTGGACTTGGAAATGCTGACATTGCAGCATCGTTATTACCGCAATCGGGTGAGCAATATCTGGTGTGCCCAGGTCCACCTGTTTTTCTTTTCACTAGCGAGCTTTTCAAGGAATGAAATGTCGTGTATGTGGCGATTCTCGTGCCGGCCGCCACTATGGTACGATTGCTTGTAACGGGTGCAAAGGATTTTTCAGAAGAAGGTAGTGCTTTGCCTTTCAGACTCGCTCTTTTTTTGTTTCTGTATTTATGAAATGAATACTGTCATTCTTTGTAATAATTATGGCCATGATTTTTGTCAACTATATACACATCTCGAAAAGCTATAGCTATGGCTTCAACGCGTTAAGAAAAAAATTCAATGTTAGGGTACCTTCATCCGCGCCGGTAGCCGCAGCTAGCAGCCTTTAGCTGCCACCAGCAGTCTTCAGCACGCCGTAACCGCTGCCGGGAGCCGTCAGCCGTCGCTAGCCGCTCTGGCGCTATCACAGAGCATTGTCTAAGAAGTGAAAACCGATTATTGTGCTATATTTTGTGTAGGGGGGGGGGAATTGTTTGGCACATCGAACAGGATCATCATGTTGATTGCACGGTTAGCGCCATTTTCTTGGGTTACGATTTATATACGGTAAATGGCTCAAAAACCGAGCGTGCTCCACACTTCGCATAGAAAGGTCTAACACGTTGACGACGGTGTCGCGCGATGGTGTGCGACAAGCAGTCTGTCCCTGTGGACGATGTCGCGCAGTGGTGCGCAACACCCTCAATATCAGTTTTAATATGCACAATGGTTCCACTTTGTGTGTACATAATGAATTTAGGCTCAGAAGTTTTCTATGTTGGCCCCGCCCCTCTTTTGGCAAACTCTGCCCACTCTATTTGCCTTTTGCAAGACACCTTTTTGTGCACAAAACGCAAAGAAAATGTTGCATGGACTCCTGGAGCCTCAAGCAGCTTTGATCTTGACCCCGCTCCTCGTCACGAAGGCTCTGCCCCCTCATTGGCAAGCCCCGCCCATACAAAAATGTCGGAATTTGAACGAATTCGTAGTTTTCAAGCAATTTCCACCTTTTTTGAGAGCGGGCGGAGCTCTCTAGGAGGGGGCGGAGCAGCCCCGCCCCCTTGTATATTCATGTTTTACGCATAGATGCATGTATATATACAAACAGCCAGACGTAAAAGTGCACGGGAACATCCGTCCACAGAGACAGACTGAAAATAATGGCTCGTTGTCAACGTGTTAAGCATGCTGATTATCATTAATATCATATCTCGTGCTGCGACAATCTTGGCAAGTTACGCTGTGTAAGTAGCAGTGGCAGACCGAGGGGGGAAGCGCCCCTCTCTTCCCCCCCCCCCCTTCCCCGAGAATGGGTCGCGAAATTTTCGAAGGTTGTTTATATGGATTATAAAAATGTGCAAGTGACTTGTTTATACTTGTAAATAACTAAAATATGATCGAAAGGGTCTCAAATGCAAAAATACCTTGATATTCGTAAAGAGCTTGATAATAACTTGATCATCCTACAGGATATCCACCGTAATCTAAGAATATGGCGCTACCATGCGAAATTACCATGATGTCGTTTTTAGCATGGCAAATATCCCCACCTTTTGAAAAAAGTTTCAGGCAAATTTGTGACTTTGACTAGTCACAGTAATCCTCCACCGAATAACGCTACTATGCGAAATAAATGTTATATATTCGCAGCCAGCGTGCCAAGTAACCCCTTAGACGGAGTTTCAGCAAGACCGATTTTCACTTCTTAGGCCAGCTTGTGGAGTAGCGCCAAGCGGCTGGCGGCGACAGCCGCTTTGGCGCTACAGGCTGCTGGAGACGGCTACGGGCTGCCGCCGGCTGCTGGCGCGGCTACAGACTGCTATCGGCGGCTATCAGTGCGATATAGCATCTTTAGGCTGCCACCATGAGTATTGCGGCGGTAAAAAAAAACGGGGAAACATTTTTCAGCATTTGCGCGGTGTCGTAGATCCTTCGTTGTGCAATCAGGTTGTCTGTTTAGCATCTGGGAGCAACGAGATTATACTTGCCGCTTCGGTAGCAAATGCCAGATTGTGCAAGAGTATCGGAATAGATGCCGTGCATGTCGGCTGCGCAAATGCTTCGAGGTTGGGATGGATTCGCGAGGTACGGCTAGAATTCGTACATGTGACACGACCGTTTTGCAGCGTTTGCATAGTAAGCATTATAGCTGTACAATCTGAGCGAGACAAGCATAAGAAGAGACCTACGAATAGTGGATCCCCTGGTGCTGAAGAAAATGCTGGGCCTTCAACATCTATGATGAATTTTACGGTAAGCATAGTTTATGTAGTAGACCTTGAGGTTGAAGCCTTCCCGTTGCACAGTTTGAATGAAACGCTGTTTTATGGACTGATATCGTTATTTCGTTATAGTCTGCATTCCATAGTAATTTTTTAGCCTCCAGCTCCCACTTCTTTGATCATGCCTATAAATCCGTTGCTGGTTTCGCCAAACGTTTCACAAACTTCAACGCAGTCGTTCCCGACACCTACGGGTTTCTTAGGTGGTGCGTTATAAACCTTTTTATTTTGGCTGTAGGATGCTCGCTTGCCACAGAGTAGGCGGAACACCGAGACGATTGATCTATTTCATCCATGAAAAGCATGTTTTTTATATTTTTTCGCTATCGAAACCCCAACCGGTACATCGATAGCTCCGCCTACTCTATGGCAAGCGAGCAAACGATATGCGCATTGACATTTTTCTTTATGATTTTGACATATTAGGAAGTGTCGTGAACCGAGCATTTGCCGAGACGTTATCCTGCAGTCCACCTCCAGCAACGCCGGTCACAAGTTCTGTTTCGCTAGCTCAATCCATCAAACAGGATTCGCCTACGTCTGCCTATGGGCAGCAGTTCAGGCCGCCTCTACCTCTTGTTCAGTATCTCATGGATCTGGTATGTATCGCAAAATGCAGTCTACTTCAGTAGCTCGGTCAATAGCTTATTCTGTCTCTAGGAGCGGCGAACGGATAGTATGGTAGATGCAACGGAAGATGGTGATTTCAGTGAGCAGTTCAGTAAATTATGCAGAGTGGACGTGACCATTGAAGCAGCCTTCAAGGATCCTGGGATTGTTGCGAAAAGAACTCCGGTAAGGCATGCGTATACTCGCCGTCAATCCCTAAGTTACATTTGCAATGTGGAGTGGTGTGGTGCGGCCGCGTCGCTTTGGGCTTGCGCCACGTTGCGAGCGTATCGCTTAAACGTGATGTGGCCGAAAGCGATGCGGCCGCACCACACCACTCCACATTGCAAATGTAACTTAGGGATTGACGGCGAGGGTAAACTTGATTCCTAGGTTTAGATTGTAAGCATCCACTTTCAGCCGCGTTGGTTGGCACTAGAGCGCCTTACAACTCTGGAAGACGTTGGAATTGCTTGGTGTCGTTCCTTTGTACTATGCGTCGATTGGGCTGGACTGATGAAGGATTACAAGGTTAACTGTAGCATACTGTTTGATGGATATATACTTTACTGAGTGTATTGTACATAGTCAGGCCTAGCAACCGGATTTAGGAACTCTCTGTACCGGATCAGTATGTTCTTCTGCGCAATAGAGTTGTCTCTGTGAACTGGCTGTGCCATACCTATAAGGTCTGTCAGATTTCTAGTCAGAAGTTGTTGCATAAAGTGCTTGTGGACAAGGGTGGGAGCACTGCGTAGCCTACTTCACTCCGGCTCTTCCAACCACCATCTTTAAAAGCAAGAAATTTTATTAAATTATTTCATAGGGTTGTAATTCATCAAACTGTTGTGAGCATGTTCTTTTTCTTGCGAGAATTAAATTTGTGAGGAACGATATGTAATATGAATATTTTGTTGGACACATAAGTTTGCTTACAGACTTTCAAGAGTGGTTGTGATGGAGTGGCACTAGCTAATGGCAGTTGGTATCCACGTAATAAAGATCTCCAAAAAACTTTAGATCCTGGGTAAGCTCAAATTATATTAGTCTTGCATCACTTAGCTTATATCCGTTCTAGTTGCAATCACTACTTTTCGATCTTGTCCGAACATCTTATGCAGGATCTGGTCTTTCCAATGCGGGAGATGAACATGGACGAGGGTGAATTCTGCTTGCTGAAAGTGCTCATACTATTTCGCGTTGGTTAGTCTGCTTTACTTCTTTATATATTTAAAATATTTAGGATGAGGGTAGTTAACAAATAGAAGAGTGACTATAAAACGGTTCTGTTCATACGAGTTTGAGCACATTCCGTCTTGTTCGGTGACAACTTGTAAATTCCAATACTTTTACCCTCTGCAAATGAAGATTTCAGACCGTCGGCTGTCCGACGATGGCAAGGCGCATGTGACAGCCGTACGTAATAAGTACATTGATGCTCTCTATCAGCATGTACAGAACGAGCATCCATCCTATTCACCCCTAGAGGTTGCTCAACGCATATCAAAATTGCTGTTGTTGCTGCCTAGCATCGAGGTATATTCATTTACTTAAAGGTTTTCATGTTATGGGATACGAGACAGCTTTCGCTTCATATTTTAGCACCTGTCACAACAGGAGGACGATAATGTGCAGTTTCTGGCTCTATTCAACCTTGCGAATCTCAATGGTTTACCTTACGAATTGCATTCATCGACAAAGCAACAGATTCGAGAAGACCCCACTCAGGTAGGAAGTTACACCAGGCCAGTTTATGCTTGGTTCTTTGCATTTACAAGAAAGTACAAAAAAAGGTAGTAAGTAGTAAAGGCTACTGCATGACGAAGGCGCAGAAGCAGTATTAGTTGCGCGAACGCGGGCGCGCTTATCTTCACCGGTAATTCTTGCGTCTCATGCCCTCTGTGGCTAATAAACCACTGTTAGCGCCCAAGAATATTGCGCTTTCATCAGGCAGCGGCCAATATTCGTATCAAAGTGCTTTGACTCTGCTGGGTAGCGGTAGCTTTCATGCTGCTTACGATGGCATACAGGCTATCCCAGTTGCAGTGTCTGCCGCACCAGCGCCTCTCGTCTCGCGCGGCCCCTCGCTCAGGATTGCACCGGGTCCCGGACAGTTCCCGAGCTGTTTTCTCACGCCCAACGTTAAAGCTCGTTTGTGCACTTTCCCTCTTTCAAGCACGGGAAAATGAGAAAACAAGTCGCGAACACGGCGCAGGGTTCAGATCAGGCGGCCGTGCGGAAACGAGCTGCTGGTACACCCGACATTGCAAATGAAATGGCCTGTACGCATGTTACGGTTAGCACTCATGTTTGGCTATAGTGACTCTGAATCTGATCACAACCGCATCGGGAGCAACTTTTACTGCATCTGTTGTCACCGCGCATCGCCAAACACGCTGGCTGCATCTTGCCTCTCGAAGACGCTCAATGATACGCGCACGAAAAGGTGAAGCGGAAACATGCCATTGCTCGTTCTTTGCGGGCTTCGTCCCCCCATTCACAAAAACTGACTAGTAATCTTTTCAGTACATGTAGTTTCACATAAAGCTTGGTCTATACTTGATGGTGGGAAATGCGGAACCTGTGTTCACAAAAGGGGTCCGGACAGCAAAAAAATATCATCATAGATAAAAAATTCTAACATGCAGCTCGAGCAGTGTTTCAAAACTGACTATAGTATTCCAGGTAAACGAGGTGACGTCTAACAATGTGGAAATGAAAGGTTACGATACTGAAGCAGCTCCTCCCAGTACAGCGTCATTTGGATGCCATTCGTTTGCCAATAGTCTTCTGTGACTATCCTGATCAAATGTCCGGCCAACTGATAAGCTGCCCATATTTTCATTTCCGCCTAGATTGTAGTATACCTCATTGCTACGTTGGCCATATCATCTCGTACAAAATTAGAAACATATGTATAGAGTGAGTCGCCTTCCATACGATGAGTACTAGCGAATTCTGAGTCAGTGCCATACGTTTGGCAAGTTGCTAAATCTGTTTTTTTTTTGCTGTGGAATACTTGTGCCTTTAATTCTAGATCTGAAAAAGTTGATTCAAGATAGTCATTTTTCTTAAGCAGTGTAGACTGAAGGAAATTTCTGTTGATGTGTGATGTGAACTGTAAAAATGAGCAGATGTGGAGTCACCGCTTAAAATGCCCTGGTTACAGGGGTAGTTGCAAGCTCACTGATCGTATGGAAATAGCCGGCTCGTCTTCTACCCTCCCTCCCTTCCTTTCTCCTCCCTTCTTGTCCCTCCTTCCTTCCCCTTCCCTCCCCGTCCCTCCTCCCTTTCAAATTCTGAATGTTTACAGTTTGTATAATCTACCCAATTACAACCAAAATTCTATGTGGATTCGAAATGTTACTACAGGGTTAAGGTTGTTGTGATTTTGTTCCAGTGATAGTTAAGGTTCTAGTAATATGAATCGTAGGAATCAAAGCATGTGTCTATACCAAAATTATAGCCCATTGCTCTTATGTATTGACACTGTTCTGTTTTCAGATCTGCATAGCCAAAACTTACTATCATTTGTGATTTTCATAGATCTACGTCAACCCTCTTCCATTCATTCCTATATTACTCTTTTATACGAGTAGTAGTCAAATCGTATAGTGCACGAACACATAAGCAGGGCTGCCGATTCTTCAGTTGATGTCAGGAAATTTTTTGAGATTTCAATGGATTCGTTTGTCCTGGAGTCTCAACAGATATTATCAATCTCATTTTATTGCTAACATGTTCAGAACATCTCATCAAATGTCAGCTGTTTGCTTAACCCTATATATTGTTGTTTGTAGATACTCTTCATCTTTCATTGTTGCCAATCCAGTCAAATAAATAGTATCGGAAAAGATTCTGTCTGGTTTTTTGAACCTTTGCTACTTTGTTACACATGCTTGCTGGGCAAATAAATTTTCATAGATGGGCCATACGTGTATATCTTGAGCTTTCGTCTTCCAACGACTCAGTCAAGCATTTATGCATTCTATTCCAGCTGCATAGAATGGTAGCTTCCATGCTTTCGAAGCTAGAACTTCACAAATCAGGGATGAAACTACTGTCAGACAGCTAGAATTCGTTTTCTGGACGAAAAAGCAGTGGGGATAATGTTTCAGCGGGTCCGAAAAAACACAATTTATGTTAGGTTTTCTTAGTCAATGGTTCCGAAAAGAATCAAAGGGGACTTCGTGAAATTTTGCGAGTCAAGGGGGACTTCGTTCTGAAAACTTCAAGAAACGGACTCATGGGCCTGCTCTCAGATTCCCAGTATACAGACGTCCGCGGATCCGCCTGATGTGCAGTCATAGGGTAAGGACCAGGACCCGGCACAGATGGTTTGGGGTCAAACTGGACTCGTTTTTAAAGTTAGAAGCAAAGGGGATATCGTTTTTATAAGGTCGTGGGGGAATCGCCGAAAAAAACCGACGGACATGTCAAGTTTTACTGAACGTGTTCTTCCGCAAGCGCGCGAATTTCAAACGCAAGACTAAAACAACAAATGGCTTGTTTACAACGCACAAATAATCACATGTCTCCGAATTTGGGCTATGGTATACAATATTACTCTACACTATGTTATGTAATAAGTTTCAAAAATTTATGTCCTAATATCCGTTCCCGAATTTGTTGGTTTCTAGACCAACACCAAACCAACTGGGTTGGTTCGGAACATAAATATCGGGCAGTTCACATAAGTTTTGGACCTTTTTGATTTGAACGATTAAAATGGTCAAAAAATCTATCATATAGTGAAGAAAGCGAATCAAACCATTGCCTCTCCTCTCTTTTTTGAGCCAAAAGTAGTGCAATTCTGCGCGTTGATAGATATCGCGCTCCCTGGACTGGGACGAGAGAGGCATACGAGTTGATGGGAGATTCCTGTCGAACCTTCGTTTTTCGGACGACATCGTTCTCTTTTCGAGCAGTACCACTGAAGCAGAGACGATGCTGAAGGAACTAAACGAAGTAGGGAAGAAGATCTGATTGCGAATCAATCGGAAGAAGACTCAGTTCATGAAGAACGCCCTTTGCGAAGATGCAGAAATGGAATTGGAAGGCACCCCTATCACGGAGACGTCTTCTTACGTGTATCTCGGACGTTCGATGAACATGGAGAACGACTTGAGGGAAGAACTTAAGAGGAGAAGAAGAGCAGCCTGGGCCGCCTTCGGGCCTCTGAAGGAAGCCACCGACCAACTGACGGACCCGGAGCTTCGTGCCCACCTGTTCGACTCAACCGTTCTCCCGGCGCTCTGTTACGCAGCTGAGACTTGGGCTGACACCGTCGCCACTTCGAAAGCTTCAAGGACCACCCACAGAGCGTTAGAGCGTAGTCTTCTGAAGATGACCCGACACAAACAACATCTCGTCGGACTTCGCAGTACGGATATGAGGAGAATGTCCCGTCTTCGTGACCCAGCGGATTACGTTGCGAAAGCGAAGCATCGATGGGCCGGTCACATCATGAGAAGAACAGACGACAGATGGACACTAAGAACATCGGAGTGGATTCCTCGCGAAGCAAAACGTCCCCGAGGAAGACCACCAACGAGATGGGGGCAGACGTGTTCTTGGAACGGATGGACCAGCTGAGAAATCAGCTGGATACGATTTTTGCACCTGGAACTCGTGCACGCAGTCACCGACGTCAGCCAAGAAGATCGTGGATGTCAGAAGCGAGGGACAGGGAGAAATGGAAACTTCTGAGCTGGGGCCCGCACGTCACGTGAAGCCGGGCCATCTAAGTATCTAAGTAAGTAAGTATCCACCCCAGCTCTGATCGACAGCGGCGCTACGATTTCCTGTATGAAACAATCTACCTTATATGCGCTAGGTCCCAACATAACAATAGAAGACAACAATGTCAAAGCACAGGCAGCTAATGGTTCTCCCATAGAACTTTTGGGATCAGTAAATGTGAATGTAAACATAGGAACACACAGCGTACCTCATCGCTTTTTAGTGTCGCATGATCATCAATGCCCCGCGTCAGTCCTTCTCGGCACAGACTTCATCAAGAAATTGAACCAGCTAGGCCTCAAAATAACCGTCGATTTACATAACAACGTGCTCACTATAGGCAGCGACGCACACAATGTGATCCAAATTAACGCAATCAATTTTTTGGAAGTAAAGCCGCAGGACGTGCGCCTTTTGCATACTACTATCCCGCCAAAAAGATCTTCCTCCATTGTACCAGCGTTTACCAACAACTATTCTCCTAATAATCCATTCGATTTTATAATCGAGGATAACCAAAGAGATATAGATCTCCTATACGTGGTAGGCAGAGTCCTAACTCGCCCATCCAACGATGGATTATGTCTTATAACTATATCAAACCCTTCCTATACAGACATACATCAAGCTATACGAAAGAATGAGAATAGCATATGCAACACCTGTATCCTCTCCAGTCGAACAAATATTAGCTATACAGAATGAATACATTCCGTCGGAAGCGGAATGGGAGGAAAGAATTCCTCATTTTCCACTTCCAACGAACACTAGCTACGATATAGCTAAAGAAATAGATTTAACCAAGTCCGCCCTAACATCGCAACAAAAAGACCAACTAGTAGACATAATACGCCATCATTCTGAAGCCTTCGTTGGTCCTGATGACCACTTAGGACACTACAACGGACCAATTCGGCATCGCATAGATCTCATAGACAATGCTCCTATACCCGCTAGGAAAACCACCGGGTACCGCTGGAAAAAGGATTGAGATCGAACAGCAAATTACCCAAATGTTAAAAGACGGAATTATCCGTGAATCAGCCTCTCCATTCTGTGCCCTTATACTCTTAGTACGTAAGCGCGATGCCACCTCTTGGAGATTTACCATCGACTTCAGAGGGCTTAACGCTATAACTAAGCCTAAACAATCCATCCTTCCTAACATTCAGGACATTATCGATCTGTGCGCAAACAACTGTCTATACTCTTCACTTGATTTCCAACAAGGATTTCACCAAATCCCTTTGGGAGAGACGCACTGCGAAAGAACAGCCTTCGCATGCTTCCTTGGAGCATTCGAGTACATACGGATGCCCATGGGAATCAAAGGAGCCCCCGCGGCTTTCCAAAGAATAATGGACGAATTTAAGAAACACTTAAGAGCCCGCGTTTTCATCTACATTGATGACCTAATTATTACGTCAGAGACGCCAGATGAACACCTTACTGACATAGACGAAGTACTATCCAAGATAGAAGAGATCGGAATGAAACTGAAGCATCAAAGCGTGAATTCGCGCGCAAAGAAATTAAGTTCCTTGGCTTTGTATTGAGTAAAGAAGGCATAAGAGCTAACCCGGAAAAGACCAGAGCAATTGACGACTACCCCACACCTAGAAACCCCACAGACATCAAAGCCTTCCTAGGCATGTGCTCTTTCTTTCGCAGATTGTACACAAATTTGCAGCGATTGCTTCACCACTTACAGCACTAACAAAGAAAGATGCACCTTTTATATGGACCGCCGAATGCGAAGACGCTATGAGACGCCTGAAAGAGGCGCTCACTACCGCACCGATCCTAGTTGCCCCTAAGCTAGGCTTACTATTCGTTATAGAAACCGATAGCTCTGGAAAAGCCGTCGCGGGAGTTTCAAAGCAAGAACAAGACGAACACTTGAAAGTAATTGCCTACGCTAGCAGAACTCTCAATGTCCATGAATCTCGTTACTCCGCCATAGAACTGGAGGCGCTAGGTGTAGTATTTGCCGTACAGAAATTCCGACCATACATTGATGGCGCAAAATGCACCGTTATCACCGACCACGCCCCTCTTAAAGCACTCCTCCATAGGAAAGATTTGACCGGAAGATTAGCAAAGTACCAAATAATTTTGCAAGAGTTTGAAATAACCATAACTTACAGACCCGGAAAAGCCAATGTTGTGTGTGATACACTCTCGAGACATCCTCCCCAAGTAAATGCCACTCAAACAGGCACAAACACAGAAAGCACTATTGATCTTTCCTCGCCAGATATCATTAACCGCATCAAAGAAGAACAAAACAAAACACCCTGGATAGCCTCCTACAAGCAAGCTATCGAAAACGATGAGCC